TTTCTTTTAGGTGAAAATCACATAATGTGCCTTAATTGGGTCGCAACTGGGCATTAAACGACGCTATTTTGACAACAAAAACATGGTTTCGTATTTTGTCCATAACTTGAGATTTACTTGTCCAATTGATATTATCTTAGTCTCTTTGGAAAGATAAAAGAGAGATCTAAAACTTCTATGAGAGCACGAGATCTAAATCTATCATCTTGGACACGAAAAATTGGCCGAAAGATAGCTTAAGGGAAATTTTCACTAAATGGCTGCTCCTCATTATCGCTTTAAGCTTAACCATTGCTCCAATACTCTAATTCAACTCAATTGTCCTACAAAACAAGGAAAAATTAATCACATAAGTCGATAATGCAAACTCCATGATTTTTAGCCAAATAACTCTTGCTTTTGACTAGATATAAAAGTGATTTTAGTCCTTTAAAACATGATAAACTATGAGTTTATCAAATCATTTCCAGATTTATAATATTGTTTTCCTCTCCAACCAAACTTCATAGCCTATACAACCTTTTGACAATGTCATAGCCTCAGCTCCTCGTCATTCTAATCGTCAACAACGCACCTCATCCTACCTCTATGACTTTCCATGTAATGTGAACTCCAACACTCCTTATCCATTGTCCTTGGTCATATCCTATGACTCTCGTCATCAAAATCACACTTCTTTGTGTCTTACCCTTAACTCCTTGAAAAAACTACAATCCTATAATGAAGCTTCTCAATATGAGTGCTGACAGAAGGCTATATTGGCTGAACTTGATGCTCTCGAACAAAACAAGACTTGAAGTTTTGCTGATCTTCCTCTTAATAAACATCTTATCAGATGTAAATGGGTCTTTAATATCAAACTCAAGGCTAATGGCACCATTGAAAGACACAAAGCAAGGCTTGTTGTAAAGGGCTATACACAGCTTGAGGAGTGGACTTTCTTGACACCTTCTCACCAGTTGCCAAGGTTGCTTCCATTAGAATATTACTCAGTGTAGCCACTGCGAGGGGTGGTATCTTGAACAACTTGATGTTAATAATACATTTTTGCATAGGGAGTTAAATGAAAAGGTGTATATGGTGCCACCTCCCGGAGTAAAGTTTCCTCGGCCCAATCTGGTTTGTAAATTGCAAAAATTACTATATGGTTTGAAGCAAGCAAGCAGACAATGGTATTCACGTCTTACCTTTGCTCTCATGTCCGTCGGATACAAACAATCGCATGTTGATTATTCATTACTCATCAAATCCGAAGGAGACTCATTCACAACATTATTAATATATGTTGATGATATAGTCTTTGCGAGTAACAACAAGGGTGAAATAGATTCTATTAAGAAGTCCTTGATTCAAAATTCAAAATTCAAAATCAATGACCTAGGAAATCTTCATTATTTCGTGGGTTTAGAAATCATTCAATCAGAAGAAGGTCTGATGGTAAATCAACGCAAATATGCGCTTGAGGTGATATCAAATGGAGGTATGTTGGGAGCCAAACCTTGTTACACACCCTTGGAACATGGACTGAAGTTAGAAAAAGATAAAGCGGAGCCGTGTGAAGATGTGGCTAGTTACCGGAGACTTGTAGGAAGACTTTTGTACTTGACAACTACTCGACCTGACATCTGCTATGTAATGCAACAGTTGAGTCAGTATGTGTCAAAGCTAACAGATGTGCATATGAAAGCTGCATTGCACGTCCTTCGTTATCTAAAAGCAGCCCCTGGAAATGGTCTATTCTATCCAATGAAAAATAGTTTGGAACATAGTGGCTTTGCAGATTTGGATTGGACCACTTGTGAAAATACCAGACGCTTGGTTACTGAATTTTGTGTATTTCTGGGGTCATCTTTGGTAACTTGGAGGTCGAAGAAGCAAGGCACAATGTCTAGGTCCTCATCCGAAGCAGAATACAAGGCTCTAACTGTGTTGACTTGTGAGATACAATGGATTAGATATTTGCTGCAAGATTTAAATGTGAAGTTGACAAAGGCAATCCTAATTTACTGTGATAATCGATTAGCAATTTACCTTGCACACAATCCTACTGGCCAGAGATCACATATATGTCACACAACCAAAGCAACAATGCATGAACATACAATTTCACACAATGTCAAAGAGCACAAAATCCAACCATGACCTTCCACTAGGTGTGGCGGAACACACAAGAGATAAAATCCAAGTACAAAGAGTTTACCTCAACTCCGCAAGCAATGCCCTTCCACGTAAGCTCCAAGCTTATTCCACTTCTATTGGTTCCGTGAGTGGTAACCTATATTCATCAATTAACCAATTCAACTACCTCAACCATTTTAATCCTCAAACTAATTCACCAATCCACTATTCTATGCATCAAAGCATCAACCATTAATTGTACAACATTTTTCATATCATTTTTCCTTATCTTTTCCTCTAGGTTGAATTCCATATGGAATCATGCTCGAAGATTTTCAATCCAATTCCACACTTATACACACCATATAATCATATAATTAACTCATACCAACAACCAACCATTAATTCTCAACCATCACATTTATGATTTTCAAGACAACTCCCATGATAAATTTGCCTAGGCTACTAAACATATCACCAATAATTTTCATTGCATCAATCATCATTATTTATCATTCTAAGCATTTAATTCCAAATGAGACATACTATTTAATGCTCCTACTACCACAACTCAAAACACACAATCAAAACCCTCATCCAATTTATGATCTCAATGAAAACTCAATGAGAGTGTGAAAACTTACCACCAATAGCTTCCTAGGGTCCAAGAGGATGATCTCTAACCAATGAATCAACACAAGAATCACCAAAAATTTCCCAAAATGTCACAATATTCGTGGCTGATTTATGGTGTTTTCTCCTTCCACAATGCTCCCCACAAGATGCTCTCTACATGAAAGTCATTTACAAGAGGGTGGAGAACAACTTTGAAAGTGAGAGTTTCTCTCAAAAGTGTTTAGAAAAAAAGTTAGAAATCAAAAAACTTCAAGCCCCAACAATGGCCAAAAGCTTAGACGGGAAGGAGAGGAGGAGAGAGAAAATGTGAGGAAAATCTGATTTCAAGCCTATAACCACTTAAGTCACTTAAAGTGGGTCCCACACGTCACTTAACTTTCTTAAATCATCCATTTTAACCTACAAATTCATAACCTACGTATTTTTCTCGTTCACGTCATATTTTTACTTCCTAAAAATACTGATCATATTTTCGTGTTTATCGGTACAATTATACTGCAGTATTTTATATCGGTAAAATCACTATTCACCAAATTTTACAAAACTTGCCTATCCACTCGATTTTTCGTTTTAAATCTATTTTCGGAATTATTTTTCCTATTTGAGACCTTCTACTCACTTTTTCTTGTCTCGGATTACGTGTTTGGTAAATTATCATTTTGTCATTTTTACGTATTTTGGCCCTAATTTCAGGATTTTCACTAATCCTACCCCTTTAATCCATATTTTCACATATAATTATACATTTAGAAATATGAGATGTTATAGGAATAGATGGGACAAAAAAGTCTCCAACAATTATCTTCAACCACTTTTGAAGGAGACTTTGAAATCGTACCTCAATTAGTCAACAAGTCCAAATAACACAGACAAGATTAAATTAGATATAAATAGATGGGATTTTTAAATGATTGTGTAAAAATAGTGGTCGAACAAAAAAAAAACTAATAAAGATTAATCAAATACATCAATAAAAAAAATTACTAATTCGCTATTTGACCAATTAAACCAATTGATCTAATCCGAATTTTAAAAAAATTACTTTCATGTGTTTCGTGAAAGAGAAACTTATAAGTATTTTTCCTAAATTATTGCATGGATGCTAATAACATGTTGTATAACTGATAAGGATAATGGCATAAATTAATATAGATAGGCTTTATTTGTTTTGGCATAAAAAAAACTGCACGCACGGTATCATTTTCATGTAATTAAAGGTTATGATTGTTTATAAGAAAAAAAAAAAAAGGTTATGATAAGTTTTTAATATTGAATGTACTATCTACAATAAGTGAATATAATAATCAAATAAAAAAGACACATTTCCCAAATCAAAAGCCAAATTACTAAAATTCTCTTGTTCATCATCTTTGTTTCTGTTACTTATTATGTGTGTCTCTTTTATGGGTCAAAGCCACCATGTGGAAGACAGCCTCCAAGAAATAGGACATTTTCTGTACAATTTTATGTTTAATGAATTTCATTTGTAGAAGATATGTTTTGTTACAGTTTGAGATTCTTGTTGTGCAATATTCTATTCCGTGTGCTAAAGCATCACAATCTTTCAAGTTAAAATAACAATGTTGTGTGTGTTTTCAATTGAGATGCAAGGCATACATGTGTTCATGTGAATTGACTGAGTGTGACAAGATGACATCCAAGGCATAGCTAAGCACGGTTCCTTTTTCGCGTTATTAATTGCTATTTATATCGTTGGATTGTTAGTGTGTTAAGAACCAATTCATCTTAAAAGCTTAAGCTGTTGGATAAGGCTACATTAATGATTTTATATATCTCAACACGCCCCTTCACATGAGAACCCATTGGGCTTGAAGGGTGGACAATGTACAGTTCCACCTACCTGTGCGAACAAAGAAATTCCACTTGAAAGAAAGTGAGGGACGGCGAGGATCGAACCCGAGACACGAGGCTTTGATAACATGTTAAGAACCAATTCATCCCAAAAGTTTAAGCTGTTGGGTGAGGCTAAATCGATTTTATATATCTCAACAATGTGCATTGATTGACTCTTCTCATTTTGATTCTGATTACTCCAAGTGTCTTACCTCAAATTTTATTGGATGTTTCCTAGGGACAGAAAAGCTAGCCAAATGAGGAAATGGATAAAAATTAACTCATTGTTGTAACAGATAATTGAAAAAAGTGCTCCTCACTCAAATTCTTCACATTGTTAAATAATATCAACATGAAATAAAATAAAAGCAATACACAACCAAACATCACAACTTTGATAATTGACAATACAAGGAAACAGGTTTTGGCATCAAACAGGATAGGCCCTATATAGAGTTCTAACATGGAAAATTTATTCCCTGTGCAATCCTTAGGATACAACATATTCAGATAATTTACATCATGGGATTCCTCGTATGACAGCAACTCCCAATCCCATGGCCTTATTATTACGTGTGTCAACCTGAAAACTATCTACAATCTTCCACATGACTGTGCCATGTCACATGAATGAGTGTGTTCAAAACAACAAATAATTCAACGTACCAAACACCTTATGTTGAGCTCAAGAATGGGCAAAGTAATTTCTTGTTGAAATATTGAATAACCAAAATCATGGATATAGAGGAATGATACTGATAACTGCTCTGAACACTTCAGAAGATTATTATGAACCAATTCACACAAAAAACAATCTACCAGGGTGCTTCAGCTCTTTCTTCCAAAGAAGAGAAGCTTACGAAATCCTTTTGCTGCTTTTGAAGAGTCCTCATCACTGTTCCATTTTTTCCTGGAGTGGTTTGGTTCCAGCATGATCACTTGGTCACTAGGTGGAGGGGTAGAAATTTGTTTCTCAGAGACTTTAGGTAAGACAACATCACTTTCATCTATTTCATGATTAACCTTTGAGTTCACAGTAGAAACTGTTAGGGGTTTGATAGGTGATCCTGCTGTAGGATTTATGATCATGCCATCAATATGTTGAGGTTTGTTGTCACCAGGAAGTGAAGATAACTTGTCCAACAATTCTTCACCTCTCAACAGATTTCCTCCCAATGTGTGATCATGATTTGGCAAAGATGAATCCATGTGAAGTTGGCCAACATTTTCATGCACCTGTTCACTTTCTGAAATCAAATATCTTGCATGTTCCTCTGATGATGTCTTGGATAGCTCTCCATTTTCTTTCAAACCAAGACTGTTTTTACTTGGTTCAACAGATTGCACAGTGCCAGAGTTCACTGGCAACACTACTGAGGCTTCCATTTCATTCTTAGCTAGGGCATTAGTGTCAGAAAGAACTTCCCCATTTGTTTTCTTGGCATCTTCTTTTTGATTTGAAGATTTGTCTTCTTTTGGAACCTGTTTCTTTTTTTCTGTGCCAGTAGTCTTCTGCAAAGGTACCCCATTTGCCTTCAAGGATGGTTTCTTGGTTGGAGTTGATTTTGCTTGACTTGGTGAAACCTTTTGACTTACTCGGGCAGTTGCAAGGCGCTCGATGGTGGAATTCCTAAGGACAGGTTTGTGCAATTTCTTGGTCTCCTCAGTGGATGGAATCTTAGGCTTCTCTTTCTTTGAAGTAGTCAAGGAAGTCTTAGTTTCTGTTCCACTCTTCTTAGAGGCACTTCTTTCAGCAATTCTTTTCTGCCGCAGAATTAGTAACTCCTCCTTTCTCTTTCTAGTTTCTTCTTCCTATTGATAAAAGTGGACAATAAAGGTGAACAGATAAAAAATTAGTAAAAGAATGGGGGTACACCAATAACCTGTGAAATTGCAACAAAGAGATATAGAATATATTAAGAAAAGTTCCATATGTATTTGGCGCAACTGAAAGTGTTGCTTCTTCGGAGCCATATAATCAAAGAACTTTCCATTAGTATTTTGCACAACTGATAGTGTTGTTTTTTCTGAGCCATATAATCAAAGAATTGCCAAAACACATGAAAAGATGAGCAGGAAACTACTACCTTAGGAAAATAGACAGACAGCAGTTTCAATTCAATCATATCTCAAAACCTTTGAAAACTCACAGCACTGTTAGAATTATTAAAATCACTTGCAGTTTGATTTATCAATATGTAGGGCATAAGTGAACTAACTTGAGGTGATAAATTCCAGAAAAATTTAGACTTAACACATTCTATCATACCTTAAAACCAAACTCTCAAATTCAAGGGTCATGTAGGGATAGATAATGTTTATGATATAATTAAGTGTTGAGATATATAAAAACCATTAATGTAGCCTCACCCAACAACTTAAGCTTTTGAGTAGAATTGGTTCTTTACATGGTATCAGAGCCTCGTGTCCCAGGTTCGATCTTCGCCGCCCCCCACTTTCTTTCAAGTGGAATTTCTTTGTTCGCACAGGTAGGTGGGCCTGTGCATTGTCCACCCTTCAAGCCCAGTGGGCTCTCGTGTGAGGGGGCGTGTTGAGATATATAAAAACTATTAATGTACAAGCGTAGCCTCACCTAACAGCTTAAGCTTTTGGGTTGAATTGGTTCTGTCGGGCCTGTACATTACATTAATGGTTTTTATATATCTCAACACGCCCCCTCACACGAGAGCCCACTGGGCTTGAAGGGTGGACAATGCACAGGCCCACCTACCTGTGCGAACAAAGAAATTCCACTTGAAAGAAAGTGGGAGGCGGTGAGGATCGAACCCGGGACACGAGGCTCTGATAACATGTAAAGAACCAATTCAACTCAAAAGCTTAAGCTGTTGAGTGAGGCTACATTAATGGTTTTTATATATCTCAACATTAAGTAATCTTGTTCCTAATTTTCAGCTCATGACTTCCTTATTGTGTATAGCCATAGGATATAGTTTTTGGCTTACTTAGTAGACTGACCAAGCAAGAATTTTCCTATCCTCTATGTCTAACTGACCAACCTTTTGGTTGGTTTCGGATCTAACAAAAGCAATTAAGCATCCCAAAAGAGAAGTGAAGTTTAAAATATACTACTTTTTTTTACTTAATCTTTCAGATGAACTGGTAGAGCCTAGACAGTTGTAAGTTTACCTTCTCAGATTTGCTCTTCAAAACTGTACTTCTGCTTCCTGGGGATGCTTTGCTTCTTGTCATGATATCAGATTTGCTTTTCCCAAGAGATGCATTTAGAGCCTTAGACCTTGCCTCTTTACTTGAAACTTTCCCAGTTCTCCCTCCAGGAGTTTTTGTATCATTGCCCTCTTGATTAGACAGATGATTATTATCTGTTTCAGTGTCAGAAACCTTTCTATTTGCTTCACTTAATGAAATGTTATTTTCATAATCCATTTCCACGCTCCAAGATGCTGCATTCTGCTCTACAGCTGAATCACGATCAAGAACCATGAAGAGATCATCTGGCTCGTGGGATTTTAAGGTTTCAGTCTTATTGCGTGAACCTTCTTGTATGCTGTTAGCGAATTCAGTGACACCAACAATGTCCGAAACCAAACTTATGTCAGCAGCTGATTGAGAGTTAAATTGTTCTTGTGAGGATCGAGCTTGAATCATGAATGAGTCATCAGCCAAAATGTCTTTCTTGTTTTTCTCCACATGAAAACTATCAGTAGCTGAGGACGAAATAGAAACACCATCAAACATACTGAAATTTCGGTTTCCATCCTCATTTGCCAGTTTATCAGATTGATTGATAATGAACCAATCCTCTTCTTTCTTGCATTTAGTGAGGGAAGATTCTAGGCCACAGCCAGACACAGAATAGCTACCTGATTCATCATTTCTCCGAGAAAACAACAACTCCTCATCTGTGCTATTTATTTTCTTCATATATGAAGGTGCATCCTTCCCTTCCTTAAAGTATTCAACGCGACTTCGACCCTCATTGTCCAATTCCCTCTCTGTCACAACAAATGAATCATTTGAAACTACTCGAGTTTTAGTAATGTCTGGTTTTTGGTTAAATTCATTTGACCTTCCATCCTCAAAATTCCTATTCACAATATATTCCTCTTGAAGCTTCATAGTCTGCTTTTCTGTATCAAGAGTAGAATCATCATCTCTCAAAAGAAGATTCTGGAAAGCATCCCAGTTGTTGTTTCCTTTTATGCCATTGGAATCAGCATCAGCTGAACCATTTAGCATGCCAGGGTGCTTAGCATTTTGTTGTTTCTTATGACGACGGGAGCTTGATTTGTGTCTTCTCTCCAGTGACACTACAGCTTCCTCAACCTGCTCTTTCAGGGATTCTCCATTGATAAATTCTTCCTCATTGGACAAACTCCCCTCTGTGATACTACCCTTTTCACCATCTCCATTAGATGTTATATAGTTTATATTACGAATAACTACTTTCCTTGAGGACTTCTTTCCATGCTTCTTTTTGTGCAGATGTTCTGTTGAAGAGTGCTTTTTGCTTTGCCTTGAATGGTCGTCTGAATCACTCTCATAACTAGAGTCAGAGGAAGCAGTAGACCCATCTTCTTCAGGGTGCTCCGGTATTTGAGAATGTTTCTTCTTCTTCTTAAAGGATGATTTATGATAATCCATTTCCCGGTCATGAACAATATGAGAGTCTTCCCCATTTGGAGGCCATTGCATATTCCCTGGATAAAATGAAGAGGGAACCTGCATACCAGGATAGAGGTACCCTTGGTATGGAGGCATTTGTTGAAATGCATGACCCTGAAAATTGTGATAGTACTGAGGAAGATGGTTTGGCCAAGACATTGGTATTTGAGCCCTTCCATCTGTTGATGGTGTTTGAGCTGATGTTGGCAAGTTATAATCTGTAAATTTTCAAAATCAATAAATAATGAGTTGTTGGATCTATTATACAAGATTTAAGTTGTGTGATAGACTTTGTTTCAAAAAATTGGTGACACATACATTTTGCTGGAAATTCCACAACTGACAAAGGGTGCATGTTTTAATTCTATTTTTTCTCAAAAGAACTATCTATTCTTTTTGTTTAACAATGAAGAAAAGATACTAACAGAGATGAGATTACCAAAATAATATATTTTTATCAAACATAACTATTGCTAAAAACAAGTGGTTTCAAAAGAAATATTTGTTTTGTTCATTTTTTCGAAACTCTTATACTCAGGAGGGGGCAAAGACAAGATACTGAACCCACTTAGTAGTAAAGGAGGATACCTTGGCCAATTTCCAAACTTGCATGACTTGCAGTTGACTCAGAAATAGAGGCATCAACTAAGCCATTTATTTTACTGCTTGCATCATCTTCACCAGCAAGTATGATTCCAGATGTCCTCAAGTATGGCAATTCGGGCTGAGCAGACGCCTGCATGGCTGCTATCTCATCTATCCAGAGCTTGTCTTCATTCTTTTGTTTGCATAGCTCTAAGAAATTGATGCATGCTTCCCTATATGAGACAAAAAATTGTATTAAATAACAAAAAACACAGAAGGTTTTCAGGTGCTAAAAGAGTGAAGATCTCAGCTACATTGATATGTTGAATCTTTCATACCATATTCCTCTATGAAGGAATCATATGGATATATTATATTCAATGAATCCTGTTAGAAAAATATAAAAACCATTAAAAGATCTTCACTTAACAGCTTAAACTTTTGGGTTGAATTGGTGCTTAACATGTCAGCCAAACATATGCTTGAGGTAGGCTATTCAGGTCAATCTATAATGTCACAGGCTATACCTCAAAAGGAAAATAACTACCTAAACAATATCTCTGTGACGAAACAAAAAGAGTAAAATGAAAAACAAGAGTTTTTAAGACATGAGCCATTATGCCAAAACATAAATGTAAGTATAATGAATTTCCATTCAAGTTAGGTAAATAAAAGCTTTTTCTTTTTTCTTTTTTCCTTTCATTCAAATTGAACAATTTAAATCAAATAGTGACATTTTCTGGCATGCTTGCAGACCTTAAACGTGAAGCTCCAAAAGCATCAGCGAAATATATAAGATCATCAACAGATTCTGGGTAAAATCCTGCAACTAAAGCACGGGCATAGGCCATTGCCTGCTCTTTGCAAAGCATTGCTTTACGATTATCTAGAACACGTTGAAGGCGAACCCTGTTCATTAAACATATATGAAAATTTATTGCACAATATTATAGATACTTCCTGAAGAATAAAAAGATGTCAAACAATACAATATAACACACCATATACAATACCTAGAGTTTTCTTCATATCCATCTTGATTGGTACCAGCTAGTTCATCTTTCATCTAAAATGCACCAGGTGATAAGAGGGTTAGTATCTTTCCGAAAAACCAAGGAAAACATTAGCAAGAGTTATATCTACATACCTTGGAGGAAGTAGTCGACCTTTTGACACGCCCATCAGCATATGATACATTTCCTGTTAATCCCAGGATCAAAATATGAATTCCCTTGATATAATGCATCAAAGAAAACAAAAACTTTGAAGTTGGAGTTGCAAGTATTTGTTTTATTTACTTTCATTATTACCCTGGGAGATTGTGACTTGTGGAGACACTATTTCCTAATTTTACCCTCACATGGAACATTTGTATGATATCTATTGCAGTATTGCACTGTAAGCATACTGATATGCGTTATTAGTTAGTTAGGCCGCAAATCCAACAAAGAAGAAGGCCCACAAATACAAATTTTAAAAATTATCTAAAAATGATGCCAAACATACAAGTAATTTGGTACTCTTCCAACCAAATTAGCCATAAATAAAGTCATACATAACATGTCACTTTATTACATAGCACTATAGTAGTGTCATCAGTAGTTTCTCCCACTAAACACAAGTCTCAAAGTAAAAAGAAAAAAGAAAAAATTATTGGCCTTTATAATTGAATAGTTGCATTTGGGTAGAAGATTGCAAAAAAGAATTAGAACTTTTAATTAAGAGTGATGATAGGACAAAAAAAAAAAAGGTTGAGAAGAAGCTGTATATTCTAGGATATCTAATCAACAGAAAGATAAGGCACAAATGTCATTAAGATTCCCCTTCCATACCTTCTGCCTCTGCCACTAAATTGCTCTTCTCATTTGACTGAATCGATCCTTCAATCTGCACAATCTCCTTTTCTATTGTCACAAACCTCTCTAGAACTTCTGGAGTGCTTATAAATCTAACAAACCTATAGAAAATGAACTCAAACAGATTAATTACATTGGCCCTAAAAGGTAGAAACTTTGCAAGTATTTAAAGGAGGGTAATCTTTGGTCAGATCCAAAATTGACATTTTTCAACATTCAGAACACTTTTAATCCAATTTATCAAAAACCCAAGATTTTACATACCAAAACACCAAATCAAAAGGAAGAGGAAAACCCAATAAGAAAAAAACCTTTGCAGGGTGGCTTTGGTGAACCAGGGAGCATGTGCACCAGCTGGACTTAGAGTAATGGAATAGCCACCTTTCGAAATCTGATCTTTGGCACTCTTAAGGTGAGTAAGAAACGGTTCTAACAGCCCAGAAGCTAGTCTTTCACTCACACCTCCAGCAACAATGACCAGGTCACATCTTCAACATAGAAAAAAAAAGAGAAACACAAAGTAAAAATCACCAAAACCTTTTTTTTTTCTCTGGCTAGAATTTTAATGTGTCTGTGAATTGTGAAGTTGTAGAACCTGGTTCTAGTTGGAGTGAGCTGAAAAAGGACATGATCAAGACGAGAGCTTGGGTCCATAACTTGAGCAAAAGAGGGTCCAAAAGAGAGTAAGTGAGGTTCAAACTTCAACCAAAGTTTGGATCCTTAAGTCCCTCCTCTTCCCTTGGATGCTTCACATGGAATGCAATAAGAGAGAGGTTGGCACATGGGGTGAGTGAGAGAGAAGAATGTGGAAATGGAAGAGCGGGTTTTGTTTGTTGAGTTTAGAATGTGGGTCCAACATAACATGCTGTCTCTTCTCTCTCTCTCTCTTAGAGACATGTACTCATTCTTTTTAGAAAGAGAATTATGTAGAGATACTCAAACTCAAAGGTGGTGGTAGAACTTGGAAGAGGATGAAAGCAAATAGTGTTAGGTGTTGAGAGGTCCATTTTCCTTTCTCTATTAACTTGTCATCCAAGAGAACCTCTTTCTTTCTCTGTGTGTGTGTGGCCATTTTCTTTGCTTTAACTTGTCGGTGTCATTCACAGATGAAGAGTGAGTGAGAGAGTGAATGAGCAAGCAAAGAATAATAACATTTGTTGTTATCACTTGACACTTGTCGCTTGTCGGTTCCAACCACAAAAAAGGAAACCTTTTCACAGAAATTTTTTAGATTTTTCACGTGATGTCAAAAATATATATATGCAGAGGGATACTCAACAAATATTATAGAATTTAATTTAAATTCTTAAAAAAAAGTTAATTTATGATTCTTTGAAATTTAAAATAAATTTATGTTAATTTTTTTAAGAATTAATATGTATCTTTTTTAAATTTCCGAGTGATTATAATTTCAACTAATTAAATCTATTTTAAATTTGTGTTTTATAAGAGTTATGTTTTAGGAAAAATAATTGTATAATGTTATAGAGATTCGTTTTGCGTGCCGTAATTTATTTTTTCCTTTTTTCTTCAAAAAACGTGGCCTCACAAAATGTTATGTGTATAAGAAAATTTGTTGTGTCATGTTAAATGACAAATACAAATCCCTTTAAATTTTAAAAAAATGATAAGTCCATATTTTTTTTCTAAGAGATTAAAATGAGCTCCGTAATTTTTATTGAAGATTCAAAAGATACTATATATATATATGGCAAAATGATTTCTGCAGCCGCTGCACCTACAGCTAGCCAGGATCCGCGTGCGGATCTTAAGATACCGCACCGGATCCTTATTTTTTTTTAAACGCCGTGGGACCCACTTTTCTGTGTCAGCTGTAGAGAGTATTGTCTACAACGGCTGCAGAAATGATAAGCCCTATATATATATATAAGCATAAAATTTTAGACTTAATAAATTTTACATGAAAAGTAAAGCATAAAATTTTAGACTTAATAAATTTTACACGAAAAGTAATAAATGTTATTATTGTTATTGATATAATTTTTTTTCTCATAAATTCATTTCTTAATAAGTAAATGAGAAAAACTTAATCCGACACATTTTTGTAAGCCACAAGAATTACATTAAATACTGATTTAAAATAGCATTTAAAAAATGAAGGAATATATAAAAGGTAATTCTTAATGTTTGGAGTTAAACTGTTGCCATCTGTAGTTTGCAATAATGATTGGAGTTAATAAATTGGATGGAGCTAGCTGTCTATGGTTATGTTTTTGGTACAAACAAACCAACATCTCCAAAACAAAGGAAACCAACAAATAAGATTAAGATAACCAAAGCTCACCAAATTGCGATGACAAAACAAAGTTATGGGAAAGAATGTTGTGTTCTTGCACTCTTAGAAAAGGACTTTCTATATGAGGATAAATATTTTCCTTTTTATATTTTATTTCATCTGAGAAATAAACAATTGTAAAGGTTTCAAAAAGCCATTCTGCAAATTGTTAAACAAAGAAAATGTCACTAGCAAACATTTTTTATAGCCAAATTATATTTTTTATTCAATAGAAAATAGCCATTGGTATAGAAACATTTTTACGTTTCTATCTCTCGAAGCACCAATTAGAAAAGTCACACTAAGAGTAAATTTTGCAAATAATTTAGAGAATGCATAGAGAATTGAAATATACCTATATTTTATGGGTTTAATAAGAGTTATGTTGTAGGAAAAGTGATTGTGTTATGTTATAGAGATTCGTTTTGCGTGCCAGAGTTTTTTTTTTTTTTTTTTTGGTTTCAAAAATTGTGAGTCCCACAAAATATTGTGTGTGTAGGAAAGTTGTTGTGGTCATGTTAAATGATAGATACAAAACCCATATTTTATAGTTAAGGACAAGGACATAGCACTCGTGGGGCTTTATAACGGTGGTTGGATTATTGATATAAGAAACAAAAGGTGAAGAAATTTGCAATCATGAACTTGCTAATAGTCCATGACTTTTCAACTTAATGTCGGTTCATACATAGCTTTCAAACACATAAATCAAATGCTTATCGGATTGCTTCACCATGTATTCACAGTAAGTTGGCCCTAATTATTGTTATTTGATTTGATACTTTTTTGATAATTTTGTTTTTGTAATTTCCCCTCATTTAATATTGCCCTCATCTCCATCAATTTTTGATAAGACACTGTTCCAACTTCAAAGTTATCTATTTTGGTGTAGCCAAAAGGAAAAAGACATCCAATTAAGCTACCACCGTTGCTACCAGTAGATGGTGCAATGCAATCATTAATCATTAGTTAATAGTCATTGTGGATGAAGACTCTTAAGGAAATAGTTTATGGAAAAGGTTCACAATGTCCTTATCCAACCAAATGATCATTCAACAAATTAATAATTACCACAGATTTTATAGGAAATGATATTATTGTAAATATTTGCGTATTCACTCCTATATATAGATCTCATGCGAATTATTGGATGTAACAATTTAAATTTAATATCTTCGATTTTGATGAATCGAGGCTGTTATAAGATTTGTGAATCAGCATTATCTATAGAGAAAATAGTGGTGGGAACTCGGTTCCCTCAATCTCGACTAAGAAGCTTTTGCGGAAGTCAAACGTCAAGCTAGGAGCTCAGCTCTTCAATCAAAGGTCGGCCTATATCAACCGGTCGGCTAGCACAGTGGAAAAACGAAAAACACAAAAGAGAAAGAGAAGAACATAGAAAAATTCTAACGTGGAAAAACCTTCTTCAATGTGAAGAAAAAAAAAAACCTACGGGACACTAGTCTAGAATCAAACTTTCACTATGAAAATAATGGGTTACAAAAGATCAAACATCACAACAATGGTGGTAATCTCAAACCTCACCTATAATGATGATTTTATCTCAAACTTCCCTCATGAGGTATAACACCCAAGCTTCTCCCTAGAGGTCCTCTCAAAATCAAAGCTTTGAGCTTTTTACTCAAAACCCTTTAATCTCACAAAGTCAACCTTTTTTTTTCTTTCTCTCTTAACCCACTTTCATCCCACAACTAATGTATTTATAGGGGAAGAAAGAGCTTTAGGGTTTCTTAGACCCTCATGGGCTTTGGGCTTAGCATTAAGGAGGAAGCCCAACAAATCTTCCCCTTCCGACTTTAATGCGCTGACATCAGCAGTAACCCAGCACCTTCACAACACTCTTCAAATTTCCTTGCTAGTATCGGCTTCGTCATCATGTCAGATCAATTCAGGTCAGTGCGCACTTTGACAAGTTCGAGCTCTCCATCTTCCACCACATCCCGGATCCAGTGAAACCTCACATCAATGTGCTTAGTGCGGGAGTGATAGGTCGAGTTCTTCGCAAGATGAATTGCGCTTTGATTGTCACATCACAACCCGTACTTGTCTTGATTATAGCCGAATTCAAAGATAAACTTTCTTCTTCCACAACATTTCTTTGCTTGCCTTAGTCGCGACTATGTACTCGGCCTCGGTCGTCAAAAGTGTCACACACTTTTGTAATCTTGATGTCAGGAGATAGCTCCTCCTGCAGATGTCATCATATATTCTGTCGTCGACTTTTTTGAGTCGGAATCTCCCCCTAAATCAGCATCCGAGTAGCCTTGCAACTCGGCTTTGCCTTCTTCAAATCGGAGGCACAACTTAGTTGTTCTTCTGAGATACTTGAAAATCCACTTCACTGCTTCCCAGTGTTCTTTGTCGAGGTTTGACAGATACCGACTTACCATTCCAACAACATACGCCAAGTAGGGTCTCGTACGAACCAATGCATACATCAAGCTTCCGACAACGGATTGGTACGGGATCTTCAACATCTCGTCTTTGTCTTCATCAGATCTCGGACATTGCTTCTGGTTCAGCTTAATATGTCCGGCTAAGGGGTGCTTATCGTTTTAGCTTTGTCTATATTGAATCTCTTCAGAATCTTCTCAAAGTATTTTTCTTGACTTAGCCACAGTAGCTTCTTTTGTCTATCTCAGATAATCTTGATTCCGAGTATCTGCTTTGCAGGGCCAAGGTCCTTCATTGCGAAGGACGAGTTCAATGTCTTCTTCAGGGCGGCTATCCTTGATTTGTCTTTCCCTACAATAAGCATGTCGTCAACATATAACAACAAAATTAGAAAATCTCTGCCTCATACCTCTTCACAAATACACAGTGGGAGGCCTCTATCTTCACAAACTTGTGATCAGTCATGAAAGATTCAAACTTCTTGTACCACTGCCGAGGTACTTGCTTCAAGCCATATAAACTCTTCTTCAACCGGCATACCAAGTCTTCTTGTTCTGGAGCTCGGAACCCTTCAGGTTGCTCCATATATATCTTTTCTTCAAGATCTCCATGAAGGAATGTCGTCTTCACATACATTTCCTCTACTTCAAGGTCCATCGAAGCCGCCATGGCTATCGCAGTTCTGACCGAAGTCATTTTCACTGCAGGAGAGAATATCTCCTCAAAATCAACTCTATTCTTCTAATTGCAGTCTTCCACAACAATTCGGGCTTTGTATCTCAGCTTCTGGCTGTTATCTTCATTCTTGATTTTGTAAACCCACTTATTATTCATAGCTCATCTTCCTTCAAGCAGCTCGGTCAACTCATAAGTCTGATTCTCGTGCAGAGACTTCATCTTGTCTTGCATTGCCTTTTCCCATTCTTCCTTATCTAAGCTCGTCACAGCCTCATCATAACTCTAAGGCTCACTGTAACACCCCGTGTACACCCGGTGTATTAAACTTATAATGGTAATAAGCGCAGCTAAATAAATGTGGAAGCTAAATTTTTCTAATT